ATGAGTGTGTTGTTCTTAGCATGGGCACATTGTAATTAGCATGTGTGTGTTTTTCTTAGCATGGGCACATTGTTCTGAGCATGCACGGTTGTTCTGAGCATGCTCAATACTATAAGTCTGCTGCCATCTGCATCTTTAACTCCCCCATTAATCAAGTGCAAGATTTGCATAGCCACAACCATAAAGGAGAAGACTCAAGACATGTTAGCAATCAAAAGCCTAAAAATTCCACAGCATTTTATTGTAGTCATTATTAAAACTCCTCTGCTAGACGGTCTCTAGATATCTCTTCATGCCCTATCTCACCCCAGAGATAGCCAGCAAAATCTGTCCAAAATGTGGTGGCTACGGCTCGCAAAAATATATGCACCTATAGGAGCCACTGGCATTTCGGCTGCAGCCACTTCCCATAGGCTTCTGTGCTACGACTGGCTACAGCCAATAAACTGGGTCATGGCCTCAGATGAGATGATACAGAACCGGTACAATGTTCTTGAGTTGGCAAGGTCTAATCCCTGTTCAGTCAGGAAATATATGAGAAAGAGGGCAGGAGTCCTTGTCCTACTGCTTGCTATATTTGTGCAATTCTCCCTTCGTCCAGACGTAAGTGGTCGTCTTCTCGCGCAAAGATAGCGCCATATACAGGTACTCATAAAAGACCTGAGAATTGTCCAAATCTTGCAGTCCCAGTAGCATCTGAAAGTTCAGTTGATCCTCTCTCCGTTGACGGGTCATATCCATATTTGCTTTAGGTAGGGAAATATCCACGAAAGAAGGCAAGCAATCTGGTCCTACTGCTTGCTATTTTTGCGCAATTCTGCCTTTGTCAACACATTTGACTTGCCTGAAATATTTGTTAGCCTTAAGTACTACCAAATGCCCATTTTAGTTTTTATTCATTTGTATTAACTTTTTTGTTATTTTTCATCCAGGAAAAATCTATAATGGAATGGTTCTCTGAGATATCCCTTCCAGCCGTGAAGCAGCTTCCGAGTATCAAACACTTCCGACAGTCTTCATTTCAGGTATCACTTTCATAGTAGTCGTAGTTTGAAATCCTTTAAAACCTGAACAATAGGAAGCATCTATGTTCCTTTGATCTCGCACACCAGAGCCAGGCTGTAGTTTGTGATTTTTTGGAGCTTGAGATTGGAGTTTTAGTCTACGGACTTTCTCTAAATATGCTGCCCTGTAAAGTTTACACTGTAGGGTCTGGGAAAAAACAACAGTATTCATGCATTGGCATTGTGCGACAATAAAGCTCTGTTGTGAGTTGGTGTGATCTTGAGGGAAACCTGTGAAAACTCAATGATTCAGAGAGGGTGCTCTGCTCATCATCAATCCCCTGATTTATTGGCACTTGTGGGTCACCACAACTGCACACCTTTTATGTCAAACTGATCCAAAGTGTGATCTTGTTTGTATAAAGCTGTGGGCTGCAGGGAGCTGTGGTTGATCTCAACTGCTTTACTTTTTCAGTAGTAATGCATGTATGGCTTAGACCTGAGAATATTACATTGTAATTTCATCTCTGTTCTGGGGTACATTTATTGGCTTCCCTGAAAGCAGAGACACCCCTGGAACTTCAATCCTGACCCTGCTGACGGCATAAGCAGTTGATAGGGGCAACATGACTGCCGATTCTGAAACTGTGTGGGTGTGTTGGCAATAAGCAGTTTCACCGTTGGGTTCTGTGGTGGCTGGCAGGCTGGGACTCAGGGGGGCCATTTGGCCTTGGGACAGTCGATCATATCTTGTTACATTGAGCAGGCTCCTCGCTACTGATATCTGTCTTTGGCAGGGATTCTATCCAAAGTATTGTTGGGGGGGGTTTGGTGAGTGCCCTCGATTTCCTATTGCATCTACATCTGCACCTTCTAGTTCTCGAGTTGCTGCATCATCATCGTACCCCCTGTTTATCGGGCCCATGAGGCAATCTGCCTTTTCATCACAGCCTCCTTGGGAGTATGGTGTTCAATTCTGCCATTTTTGGCACAAATTACAAATCACCAAGTCAACTGCGCCCTCACAGGAACCCATGCAGTTACCCCGGCTTGCATGAAGGGAGGCCTTACGTAACTGTGGCTCAGTCAAGGACATATCACGACACAGCCTCACCCGTAGTTTGTTGAATTGCCCAAAAGATCTTTGACTTGACACATTGAACCATGAATTTGCCACAAGTACACCATTAATATTCAAATACGAGCGCAAGGTCTCTGTCCTCTTAGGAAATTCCCAGTGACTTTGGAGGTATTTTTTCCAGTTGCGTAACATAACTGGCTGTTGGTGGTTTGTCTATAACAATTGTTTTAAGTACAAAAATCAGATCCCTCATTAACAGCAATAATAAACACACTCATATAGTATCTTATGGCAAAGCCGCAAAGTGTTTCACAGAACTAAAACACTGAGTGAGAATCAGTTCAAGAAATGGACTGAACTGAACTTCCAAGCTTGCATAGGTAGTAATAAAACTGCTACCATCAGGCTAAATATTTATAAAGATAAAAAAGGTGAAATTGCTGAAAAATTAATATTGTCACTGCCTTAGAACTGCAAAATTGTGAAAAGTAAATGATCCAGTGAAAATACAGAGACCATGAAGAGAATCCTGAAGAACTTGTCTCTCTCGCAACTCACCTCTCTGCAGAGGGAAGACGTGATCCTCCTGGCCACTATGTACCCCCTCTCCTTGGCCGGCCAGTACCTGCCAAAGCTGGCCAGAAACCACCACTGGTATCCTCTGGAGTGCTACCGTGTTGCCTGTGAGCGGCTGTACGGCCGAGCTAGGTGTCTGGCGGCTGTCTCAGAGAACCTGGGAGGCCGAGACCTTGAGAGGAGCAAGAAGGAGAAGGAGATGATTGTTACTCAGGTACACTCTAAATTGAGAAGTTTTCATTTCTTGTGATTTATGCTGATGCTAAGATCATGTCACTGCATAAACTTACATGTGCAACGTGCACATTAAGAGATTGAAACCAACTGGGCTTCCATAGTATTGCTATCTTTTTGTCAGTGTCTGACCTTAGAGAGGACTTTTGAAAGATGGCCAAATTTGCAAGAAATATGCTAAAAATCCATTGAGAAAAACTTTGAAAAAGAAAGTTGCTGAATAAAAGTATACCAAGTCATAATGTCGACCATTGGTCAGCAACTATTTGCTCACCAATGGTCAATTTCCCCGGTAACCTGTGCACAAAATATATTCTGAGTACCAAGCAAGACTGACCAATGGTTGATTCAGGGTCGCTGATGAAACTTGGCCATAGTCATCATTTGGTACTGCTAATCTTCAATTTCAAGCCTCTCTCTATCCAACTTCCTTTTGTCCACTGTTCAAGTATTAAGTTTATGACTGACAGGTTGAAATGATCCGAAGAGACGGTATCAAGTCTCTGGTGTTTAGCCTCGGACGGAATCTGATGGTGACCCTCCAAGATGAGGCAGACTCACAGATACATGCATTCCACACACCACACAAGTAAGACCATCCCAAAAAAATATCGCTATCCCTAACTACCTCAGTTTTTCTGCCCAAAACCTTCCTGAGTCTGTCAAAAACCTCCAGTGTGCAGCAAACACATAGAACACATTCTTTTAACTCTAACTTTCAAGAAGCATGATTAAATCCCATGTAAGATTGGAGTGACTGAGCTGTGCAAACAGATTTGATTTTGTCATTGTAATCAAATGAGGGTGTGTAATCAGCCTCAAATGAAATTCAAACATAGAAATGAACAGCTTCATGAGACGGTTATTGGAAATTCGCAAAACCTGTGATGACAAAACCGTAGCATGGTCAAAAATTGTGCGTCTGGCCATTTCACGTGAAGGTACAACTTAAAAGAGGGACAACGCTGTGAAGATGACCCAGCCAGCTGCACGGATCTTATCGTGGCATTCGTACAGGATCACAGTAGACTCCCCGTCACCCATCTCACCATGACTGGGTTCCACACCCACAGCGGGTAGGTACAAATGGGTGTGATGGGTACGTCGGCAATAACGGGTTCTGTGCAGTAAACAAACAAGAGCTTATTGTAACCGGGCGGTGATCTCCCTTTACAACCGTACACCGCATGCATGAGCTTGTTTGGGCAGGCAAGTAAATTTGGAAATTTGTTGTGTGTTTGTGATTTAGCCTAACAAACCGATTTGGAAGTTTTGAGTCAGAGGCCTTTGAAAAGATGTTACACAATGGAAATGTTTTGGCAAAGAGGATGAATGATGGTGGCTGGCAGAGAGCCAAAGCTTGTACTTGGCCATGTCACAATGAGATACATTACACTGTAGACAAATATAGATGAATCATTACGAACAAAAGGATGAATTAATTAAAAGTAACGATTAACTATTATACTGTGAACTATTTTATTTTTAACTACCGGTCACATTTGCACTATCTGAAGGTGCATGGTACCACTGGCATATAAGTGTCTCTATTTGTCACTGACAAGACCATCACAAGCCTCCAGAAGACCCCAGAGGACAATCATATGATCCCACAAGACCATCACAAGAGAACTTTTGCCCGTGGAGCAAATGCAGTATTTTTTAGGTTTAAGGCCAGAGGAATTGTCAAAAAAAAGAAAGAAAACATGGTGGGTTCTCAGTAATGCACTGTGTAGTGGATAGGCTACACACCAGGTTTGCATGCTCATAGTCAGGTAGTTTGAGAGTTCTTCACTCTTTGTCTGGTCCTTAGAACAAAATTTGGTGAGCACCATGAAAACTCCATCTTTGAACATAACCTGCCGGTGATGATAGCCCTGGTCAACAGGGGCCACTTAATGGAAGGAGCACAGTTCATTGAGGTAAAGTGTTAGGATATCTGTATCTATGTGAAAAAATGTCAGAATAAAAACAATTTATGTAGGGATGTGAACCCTAGACGTGTGGCTTGTTACTCTAAAGTTTTCCCCACCAGAATATCTATGCAATGTTTTCTTCGAGCTGAAGTAGAAACAGCTGGGTGCCACTTGACCAATCACTGGTGTGGAAACAGCTTTAAGGAAAATTGGTTGAATTGGGGAATTGAACTCTGGACCTGTGGCCTGCTGTTCCAGTGTTTCACCCACCACATTAACTAGCCAAATATTTTTCGAGCTCATGCATAAGCCAGCCACATGTCATTGGACCGGTTACTGTAAGCAAAACAGGTCAATTCAGGGACATGAACCAAAGATCCTTGGTCTGCAATTCCAGTGTTCATCCACTGAGATATCTCTCAGGATGCATTTCATTGGCCCATCACCGTTTGAATGTTTTTCAGAGCTAAACTTGATGAATCAGGAACTTGCATCTAAGATCTTTGATCACTGTTAATTGGCCTTGAATCTACCTATTTCCCAAGTAATTTTTACTGCTCATACATACCATCGCAAATTGCAAGACACTGTACAATATCTGGTGTAGTTGGGAATTTCCATGTTGCTTTTCTTCTTTCCAGCCTGTGTTACATTGTTCCACTCTTTGGATGCCCAGCCAGATCCGTTGCTTTTGTTTTAATAGTTTGCCTTCTGAGCTGAGGTATCTGATCCGTTTGAATTTAATGTTATCTATTTAGGCATTCACATCATCGGCATACGAGTTCTACGATGAGATGGTGTTTGTGTCGCTGAATGCAGATGAGTTCCCCAAGTGGGCCTCAAGCTTTGTACCCCTGGGCTACCGGCAGAAGATGCTCGGTAAGTTTGTAGTGCCTGTAGCTGTAGGAGCCATTGCATCTTCTACTGTTGTAGTGTATGGTTGTACTTGTTGTAGGCCCTTAACCTACTGTAGGCTAGGTGACATTTATTCCTATGTGTATCAAGTAGTGTCGCTTATTTACTTAGTTTCTTAGACATTATACAAATTTGTATTTAGTACTTCATTAGGCTTTAATATTGATTTTGGTAATAAGCGCATGAACGTTGTTCGAGGGTGTGTTTATTGGAGGTGTTGGCAGTAGTACGCAGCCACCCACATGAACACACTCTAATCATCATCAGCAAGCCAAGCTCTGCGCCCAGAGAGCCTATCCATGGAGAGGAGATAGAGGTTAGTATGAAATAGGCACGATAGGCTTCTTCAAGTTCCTTCTCTTCAATAACTGACGCCTACAAGTCTGCATTTGCCTCGCAGCAGCATGGAGCAAGCTCGATCAGTGATTGACTAATAGTTTGTGGCAAGGTTTGTTCTTCAAATATACTCACGGTTGGCAGTTCACATGGTAGTAAGCCTTTTGTTTAAGACAGAATTACCACTTTGACTGCACTTTTCATCTCTCCTTTAATTTGTTTTCGTCTGTCCTTTAATTTGTTTAATCTTAGGATATTACAGGTATCTTGGTGCACAGAACCTGTGTTGAAGTATCTGGGTACCCGTGTTAAGACATCTGGGTACCTGTGTTTTGGCATTTGGGTACCTGTGTTTGGGCATCTGGGTACCTGTGTTTTGGCATCTGGGTACCTGTGTTTTGGCATTTGGGTACCTGTGTTTGGGCATCTGGGTACCTGTGTTTGGGCATCTGGGTACCTGTGTTTAGGTATCTGGGTACCTGTGTTTTGGCATCTGGGTACCTGTGTTTGGGCATTTGGGTACCTGTGTTTAAGTACATGTACCTGGGTACCTGTGTTTAACTTCAGTAGGGTACTTTGATCATGCAATACATTAAGTATACAACTCTAATTCATACTTACGTACTAATACTGAAATTTCCAAAATCGTCATGGCAACTTATTATCCTGGCTATCTTCTGTACACTGTGGTGTACTTGTACCTACATGTAGTTGTGATATCCAGTGACCTTACCCATCTCCTTAGACCGGTTCCAAGGAGTCAGCTTGACCCTCGCCAACTGCCATCTATTTGATCAGAGTTATACCTGCATGTATGTCATGAACAGTCTGAACACTTTTTCAATCACTGGCTAATTTGGATCACCTGTTTCCAGGGTCCTTTTCATCGGACTGATTCAAGGGAAAAGGCTTTGATATTTTAAGGGAAGGGTGTGTCATTTTTCAAACAAAAGGTACTTGGAATTGCCAGCAGTTTTTAAGAACTTTCCTCTCAAAGTGCATTAGTTCAAGTTTTCTCTGTGTATCAGCACCAACAGCTGTGAACTTCGGCACAGATAACCTACAACAAATGGAAAGAGAGTATAACTTGTAATTATCAGGCAGCACTGCGGTTCAATCGTTTTAGTTCCAAGAAGATAGATAACACTAAGAGTATTATCCTTCACTAAGCCGGCTGTTACCGCCGATAAGGGAGCTTTAGTATTGGATGATAGACACTGGAGACTGACACTACATGATATCCTTTAATACCTGTCTGTTCTCGTTATCTCAGAACATCGCTTTTATAATACGATCACTCTATAATGAGAATACTAAAGTTGGAAAAAAAAAGCTTCCGGAAATGTGATCTTTGTCCTGCAAAAATGCATTTTTCATGTAAAGAAGGAAGTGCAAAGGATAAATTATTTGACCAGAATGTCCGGTTTATGTACAGATCACGGAACCAAATACCACTTTAAGTTCTACATGTTCGTACATGTGCACAATGCCTTTTGCTTCTTAAACAGTGGTGCAACAACCTCAGATTTTTGTAATCCAGAGTAAAACATTTATTTTGAATGATTGACGTACGTGTTACTTCGCCTGCAATAATTTCTTTTTAAGTTTCCTGTGGACTTTATAGAGAAGGAATTTCATGTCTTCTTTTGTAGTGTGTTTGCTGTCAATCTTTTTGGGCTGTTTCAATTGCTTCTCAGAATAAGTAGGTGCTGTTAAAAAAGTCAAGTTGCTTGTGTGTGGTCAAATTGACTAGTTTGGACCTTCTTAAGTCTTTATGTGTCCAAATATTAAATTTCTGCATGGATTAAATGTTTTTACAGTATTAAGCTACACTTTTCATCACAGTATTTGAAACTCACATCAACCGTGTCAACATTTTCAAAACGTTAAACAAAAGTCACATCTAAAAGTTTGTTCATCCAAACTTGTTCCGAGGCCACTCAAACTTCCAATGCGGAAATTGCTGTTTCCACGGATGCATTGTGGATTTATGAGACAAGATTAATCAGTGTTTTGCTCTTTATTTATAACCCAAATGCGACATTTAATGGATGATTAACTGAGAATCCATTAAAAAACTTTCCCGGACCCATCTAAGACATAAACACACTGTAAAATGTGGATGCCATCCACAAAGTCCTGTTGGCATTCATGCCCTTACTCCCGTGTAGAATTCTGTCTAAAAGATTTTAGAGACAAGATTTAAGCTCAAGAACTCATGCATGCTCAAATGAAGATTTATTTTGGCCAATTCTCCTGGCCAGGGAAGTGTATGACTCGTCTATTAGCTGTTCTTTCATTTCCGTTTTGCAAGCCGGATCACATCCTTTTAGCTGTATGGCAATCTTTCAGTTGATTACATTGGATGTTCTATGGCCTGTCTTACACAGACTATTAGCCTTACATGTAGCAGACACCCATTGTTTTGTTAGGCTGGCCAGTGGCGTTCCCAAAATCCCAAGGGTCCGTGCCTTTTTTATAGTTGTTGTAGCTTACACCTGGGGTGTTTCACGTTCTGCCGAATCCAATCTATCCTGTTTCACGTCAAGAGATACTGATCTGGAGTCCTTGTCAGTGAGTCAGAGTTTTTAGGGAAACAGTTCGGATACTTAAAGTGCACCACTAAGGCAGATGTGGCCTTGTTTGGTTAAGACAATTTTCTCCAAGCAAAAACAGGCCTGCCCATCCTTTTGATCTTGAATCTCCATGTACTTTCAACCTTGCTCAGTGCTCCTGGAAACATCAGGAAGAGAAAAAAAAAAGGCTTGGAATGTTCAAAAGTTTGTACTCTATCGTTTGAGATGCTTTGCTCTGGAAGCATCTTGTGCAAAGCATCTGGATGCTTGAATTAAAAAGACCTTTTACGTTTTGGGGGTTTATGAGACAGCACAAGGTGCCCAGCAAGTTTCTAGAATTAGTAGGCCTATAGTCTGGTGCTTGCGGGAGTATATCTTTATATTCCAACAAAGTTTCAACCCTGAATGATGTAATTCAAGGCCGTCCTGTTACGACCTGTACAGCTACCTTTGTGTTTTCATGAAATTGTATGAATTTACTATGACGGGAAGTTGCATTTTTTGTTGGTACCGGCGTATCGGTCAGTCCTTGACTCATTGTTTGACTACATGTACAAGAATTCTGTGGTAGTTGATAGAGTTTTTGGACTTTCAGATGGATGTTTGGGGCAGGATGGCAGGTGACAGGTGACGTAGGGTGATATTTTTGAATCGTGCTTAGAATGCATCCCTCTGAAGTAATCCCACACAGCCATAAAAATTGCAATGTCGCAACATTCAAGACTCTGTCAATGATCACTGGCCATTAGTGTCGGACTAAAACAGAGATACTAACAATTTGTGTAGAAATTACGGAATTAAGGAAAGAGTGGAAGTTTTAAAGGTAGTTGTACTAATTATTTCACTGTCTTTTTAAAAGCTTCGTTTTGTTTTATGGGGTCAGTAACAGCATAACCAAGTTTCCACTTTTGCATGGATTTGCTCATTAGCAGTAGTGCCACAAGTTTGTGTACCAAGCGAAAATAAGGAAAAGTATTTTGATGCACATTCCATATCTGTTGCATCAGCTGCTGGCCACAAACCAGCTACGGGTCTGGCAAGCTGATCCTGCCTTCTGTATCAGAACCCCACAGCAATGCGAGAATGAAATGACCAATCATACTCCTTCTGTGATAAAAGTCTGCTATTTAACAGTCCACAATTGTATTAATTTCATGACTATACAATAATCTTGTTCAACAGCTTATAACATGGTTGTGGGAGAAATGAACCATCCGTTATCCAGAGTGAGGCGAAGGTATCCTTGTCTTCATTTCCAGAAGTAATTTGTGACGTACAGCAATCATGCTCTTCCGGTTTGTTTTCCAAAAAATTGACAAACCACAGATTTCTTGGTCAGGCAGAAATTAACCCTGTAATTTGACACTTCATTTCCACTTTGTCCACACGTTGCTCTGCACTCCAACAGATAAGCGCTGCGCATCGGCAAAAATTAATTCTAATTGGCAGCGATAGTGGCCAAACACGCTTGTGTCTATAACACTGAAGGACCCATTGCATCACTGTAGTTCTGCAGCCGCCAGAGTAGGAAGTCCTGCGGGGTCCAACTGGAGTGTGCAGATAATACAGACTAGATTAATGCCACAGATGGAGTGGCCTTCAGAAGTGAAAAGAAGGGGAGGATCAGGGCATTGGGAGGGAGGGTTCGGTTTTTATTGGTTTCTCGTGCCAGATCTTGATCTTATCAGAATCTACAGGACTAGCGCATGAGGGGAAATCCTCCGGACTGTTTTTGTGCTAACAACCAGATGGATCATGTGGCTGGTTGAAGTGATCCGTTTTGCTGGTAGTGGCATGTTAGTGGGCACATCGGACATTGGCTAGGCTGTGCAGTGCGGTACATGTACTAATACCATGCTAGAATTCCCAGGTTAAAATTTCCCACTTTAGTTTGTTTGTTGGGGAAGTTTAGCCAAGTTTACTTTCCTTCCTGTCCTTAATATGGATACTGTCAGTAAAAAGCTTTGGGACTTTGTTTTGCCAAAGCCTCTTACTCTCATTCATTAGTGTGTGGTAAAGATGAGATCAGCTTCACACGGAGTCACCAGAGCA